TTGATGATACATATAGAATCAGTGTGTATATTGTTTAGTCAATGTTTCTGATACATGTATTAGATACGAAATTGAATCTCCAACAACGATTCCGTCGATTTTGTAACTTTCATTCTGCAATTCGTTCACCCAAATTCCGGAATGTCTCATCAAAATCGAAGTATTTATCTTGAAAAATCCACTGTAACAACAATAAAATTACTGTAGTTCGAAATTTAACAGATTGTTCAAAAAAATTATTTTCAAAATAGATGATATAATCTTTGTTTTTCAAAATTTGAAATTAATATCCAATTAAGTGCTGATTTTATGTTGATTAATGATATGTTACCGTAAATTTAGCTATTTTATTAACAACATTAACTGTACCGTTTTTTTCCCTTTTTTTTCTGAACAGTTTAAAATTACCATGTATCATTTACCATGTATCACTAGAGTCTAAAGTATCACGGCTCAACAAATTTAAGGGATTTTTTGTAAATACTAAATTTGTCGGGACAGAATGAAATTATTGAATTACACTATGGGATTCCTTAAATTTTTACATAATAATAGCTTAGTGATGTAGTTTTTTCTATTTTATTTCATGTAGAAAAATGATATACTGCCTTTTTTGCATTTTACTTGATCCATTAATATATATTTATTTTAGTGGATTGATTCAGTAAACTGCTTCATTATTCATCTTTTGATCATCTAAATAAAGTATCCAACGTAGTTATTTAATGATAAAAATAATATTGAAAGAGTAATAAATTTATTTTAATTTGTTAAAGTAGACAAACAAAAAATAGTGTAAGGATTTAATAAAATGAAAGAATGTTTTTCCTGTGAAATGTACCAACAACTTGTGTTTGCTTAGTTATTTAATTAAGATTCTTTTTTTTTTGGTTTAAGTAATTAAGATTCTATATTCCAACAGAAGTCGTCGTCATCATCATCATATATATATATATTATCTTAAAAGTGATTTTTGCATCACAGTCTTTTTTATTAAATAATCTCCAATTATTTTCTTTCACTTAGAACCTACACTAAATAATGTTCATCCCTTTTAACCAAACGAAATTGAGATTATTTTTGCCTTTGTTTGTTGGAAGGGGGAACTTTCCATTATTAAATCTTCCTAATGCCTAATAAACTTTTCACTTTTGGGAGTTGATATTCATTGTTAATCATTTAGGAGAGAAACATTACACATTATTGAAATTACAAAACAAAAAATAGATATTATAAAATATTAATTTGCAATATGAATTCAATTATATACGGATCTATTTTTTCTTTTTAATTTTCGATTCGATATCCGATTAAAAAAGAAATTGAAATTATTATTATTTAGGATTTCATTAATCGATACTCCTAAATCCTAAATCTATCACTACTTCCACAACCATGTTTTGACTCTGATTAATTTATTTATTCCCATAAGTATATGTTATAAAATACACGGAGGTCAAAATATTAATAACTTCAATTTTATTATTTTTTTTGATAAGTAAAAAAAGGGAAGATCGTTGTATAAAGTGCATGAAAAAGATGCTTTCCAATTGAAATTTTAATAGCATTATTTTTTTCAAAAAAGTAGGTATCAAAAGATGCTAGATAAGAGATAAATATATGCAAAAGGATTGTTTGACGATGGACACTCTCATGTGCCTAAACAGAAAACAGTAAAGTCTAAAGTTTGCTACTGGGACATGACAAAATAATGTAAAAAGGTTTTATTTGATTATCTATTCCATCCTAACCAACATATTATTTTGTCTAATTAATGTTTATATATAGTTGGTTTAATGGATCTTTTCTTTTTCACATGATGTCCAAATGCTCATATGAAAATTCTTTTATTCTAAATTTGAGTTTTGTAAAATTTCATTTGAAAAGAAATGAAAATATCTCAAATATACATAGTATATTTTTACTAATAACAGGTCTCTTTCGTTTGTTTATTTTATCTAATTAAATGCATGCTTTAGGCTTGGACGAATTAAAAATCTTTGCATCGTAAGTTAATTTTTTTTTTCTCTTTGAATTTCATTATATTTTTTATGCTTTCATATCAGAAATTTAAGTTTGATACTTCAAAGATACATCACATCCACATTACCACACCAACGAGAGAGTGAGTTTGACCATATGACCTCCAAATTAATGAAATATTTATTCATATATTTACATTAGAGATAGAATAATACTGCTTGTTTGTATGCAGGCATATCTATTGAAATTTTTACACACAAAATTAAACAATTTTACATACACAATTTTTCTGCAATATATATATATATATATAGCATGCTAATTGTTTTAGTTTCAACAGTCGAGTGGGCGTTTATTTCATTTTTTTTTGTTTTAAATGGCCTACTTTATTTAATAAATACCATTATATAATGTGTAATCAATGTATATATACATTATACAGTAGTTATGTTATGAGTAAACAAAAAATTAAATATTTATACCATTATCATTGCAAGCGACTGAAATTTTCTTAACCGACTTGCTATAAATTTAAAGATCACATTTCTATTATCCTTAGGCGTTAGACAAGTAATAGGAAAAATATTTGATGTAGTGATTAGATTGTATATTATTAGTTAAAGGTTTCAGATTTGAGCCTGAGTATGTATCCTAAAAATGCAATATATAATTCTAATTTAATTAGAATTTAACTGTGAACTTTAAAAATGGAGTAAAAAAACAAAACCAAAAATATGAAATATTCATAATTTTTAAGAGGAGTATTTAATTATTCTAAGTACACTGATGAAATAGAATGGAAATAATCACGTAATTCATAGGAATGGTCTTTAAAATGAATGAATTTAAACTTTTTGAACTTGTTTTATGAATGATATTTGATTTTAAAGATTGGTCCATAAAATATAGGAACCAAACATTTAAGACCATTCATTAAAAAGATTTAGGCTAATTTTCTATAGGCCAAGCACATATTACTCTAATTCAATCTTATTTCATTTTGACATATGAATTCCATTTTTATATATCATTTAAACACAAATAAAGTCATTTACATGAAATATGAAATTGACTTAAAGAATTAAAATATAATAAAATTGAATTGAAATGCCAAATTAAAATTTAAAGACAAAGAGATTGAATTTATATTTAGCTTTTTCCATAAACAATTATTGAAACTTCAACTAGCCGTTGTAGCAAATGAATTACAATTCAAAAATACAATTTTCAAGCATATGTGAATTGGCTTATTTTAAATATGCTTAAGCTTAAATTACTTCTAAACAACTCTATAATATTAAATAAGTAAAAAAAAACTTATAAACACACAATTATAAGCTAAAATAACAAAATATAAGTCAAAATCTATAAAGTAGAAAACCAATCCAAACAGGGTATCAATTACATTCCTTTCATTTTTCTTTCTTACAATAATCATTTTGAGAACCGTGTTGTTTCTAAAGGTGCACTCGTTTTCAAATTTTTTAAAAAAATATTCATATGCATCCGATATCCATTTTGTTTCACGATTAAATCAAATTTATATAGAAAAAATCTATTTTTAAAATTAAATCAAATTACATTTAAGATTTAAACTAAAAAAATTTAATTAAAAAAGAAAATATACTTATCATCTCTCTATATGATATCTATGTTAGCTAATCTATAATATTAATAAAAGTTCACCATAAAAGTATTATAAATCATGTTATGTTTATATGCTCGAAGGAAAATATGAAATGATTTTCAGTAGATCTCTTTATATTATTGTCACTTTTCTCGGTGTTGTTTTTATTTATTTCATAAAACAACAAAAACAGAGCCATTTTTATTTTATTAGAACTTTTAAATTCAATAAAGCTTTTACTAGTAATAAAAGGAAAAAAATAACACCAACGAACTAGTATTTCTTCATCAATAATTAAAAGTTTCGAGATCGAATCTTTTGAATATAAAGTTATCTTTGTTAATAAATATTTTACCCCAATATAGAACTTTTGAGATTCACCTAATATAAAAATTTTTGATACAAATTTAAATTTAATCAGACTCTGAAAATCAAACACCGAATTAAAAACCAAATCCAAAAAAGAACATAAATGATAAAACTATAAAGTACTTGGGCTTTATATTATATTTCCAATTTATTTGAAAGGATAAAATAAAATAATAAACCCTTGTAGTCTCATTCAGACTTTAAAGAGTTTAGAATATAAACTAAATAAATAAAAAAGTTTCAAACAACTATCTGGACCCATCGTGCTACACCTGGCACTCCTTGGTTTACAGCAAATACCATGTAATATCCCGGCGGCGCCACCTTCCCGTCCGGCGGTGCTGTACATCCGATCCTATATTTACCGGCATCATCGGGAATAGCGCTCGTTACTTTCAATTTCACAAGCCTTTGCCCCTGTGAAAACGAATGTGTTGAAAATGGAGCACTCGCTATATTCACCTCAATAATGCCAACCACCGGCAGCTCCACCGTCACTGCCACCCCAAAATCCTCACCGTATTTGAGCTTTTCCGGCAATTCTACCAGAACTGGTCGGAGGTTTGCTCTGTCTGCTGATAAATACTCCGGAGAAAATGCTTCGATCCTTAATTCCGTCGGGAATTCCACCCCGAACTTGTAAAAAAAATGTGGGTTGCTTCCGGCGAGCAAGATCCGACCGTCCGGAAGCAAATTGGCTGTGGAGTGATACATTCTTGGAATTGTACCGGGATTCAAAGTCATGAATCGGAGTCCTAAAGGTTCATCTGGTCTGTATAAAACTGGGTTCAAACAAGGATTTGACGCCATTTCAAAGCCTTGTGTTCCTGCTTGAGCTCCATTAATGATAAGAATTTCTCCGGTTGGTAACATCACCATATCACCCATGATTCTCGCAAAGGGCATATCTTCCATTTCCCAAACTGGGTTTTCTCCGGTGGCTTCAATTCTACCGCAACTCCCATTTGCAGGAGTATCTGTGCTCCTCTGTAAATAAGCCCCAAATTGAGCTCCACCACAAATAACAATGGTGGCAGAGGAATAATCCTGTGTTAGGGCCAACATAGCTGATGATCCTGCTGATGGGTAGTTTCTTGGACCACCGTCGAGTATTGGGTAATCTTTAACTATATTATTTGCCGTAAAATCATACATGACGGCTTTATTGTTGGCGAAAATGAAGAGATGTCCATTTGGTAGCAAATGAACATAAGGATAAAGATTATCATGTTGTCTATCTTCAGCTTGAGTTAAGAAAGGGAATTCAACCGCTCCGGTTTCTCTCGGTGGAAAAAACTCAACACTACTAGCAGCACGGCCGCCGACAATTATGATTTCTCCGGTGGGTAATATCTGATTCGTGGAATACCATCTCCCTTGAGAAAGCTGAACATTTTGAAGTTCTTCCCAATCACAAACCGAGCTAGAAGATTCACAAGGAGTGAATTTTCTGAATTTGCGGAACCCATCAAGATCACCTCCGGTATGGAGAAGAGTACCGTCCGGGAGAAATTGGCCGGAAGAACACCAAGTGTCTGTGAGGATCCTAAGAGGCCGAACTGAATTCGTTTCCAAATCAAGAAGAAGAGAGTGAGCATAACAGTCTTTTTTCAAAATGGGGTCATTGGGGTCGTTACGGCAATGGTGGGGAGGGAGTCTTCTTCGGGAAGGACCAATATCGGTGCGGTCAAGGAGTACAACAGTGTTGTAATGGGTGACGGCGGTGTGCATCGAAGCAATTCCGGCGTCAGGGACCAGGAGTTCCCACGTGCCGGGGAGGTCAGCAAGTGAGGGAATGGTGAAGAATTGGATAAGGAAGATGAAGATGAAGATGAAGTTAGAAGTCGTCATTAGACTGAGTGAGTTGGAGTTGAAAGTGTTCGTGTCAAATTCGATGTCTAAATAACAGAGTGTGAGGATTTTATGAGTTGCTAAACAACAGAGCATATGTCATAAAGTATATATTACTTTATTTAGCTAGCGTTTGATAAGAGAAAAATTTAATTTAAAAATATAATACATAATATGATAATTTAAATATAAGATAAAATATAATACATAACATAATAATTAATTGATCACAATAATAATTTAGTAATCCGATAGGTCATTTTCAGATCTAGCACTATTCGAAAAATATTATGATATGATTCTGAAAATTGTTATGACTGTGATTGTGATTATTGATCTCTCTTTTCAAGTATTTGTTGTTGTTTACTTTGCATGTAAATCACAAACATTCGGATCACTAATAGTTTCTCAATACACCAATTTAAGATATCGTAGAGGCTCCAACTCCAACTATAGAAGTGGTAGTAGATGAAAATCCAGATTCAACAACTATTAGCTAGACATAAAAATATTAAGGACAAAAATGCTCATTTTTATCTCTGTAAGGCATTATAGAACATTTATGGGACTAACATAGTGATTTTGAAAAGTGAGTGTTTATATGATTGTATGTCATTTTTATTTGAATTTGCCCCCCCCCCCTTTCCCCCGCCCAATTTATGTATTAATATTTTTTGTAATTTATATTATTTAAAAATTTAAGATAAAATATAATTTTATATCACATTAGAAATTATATAAGGTAATTATTTGGAAAAAATAAAAAATTTATATTATGAAATAAGAAAATTAGAATGAAATAGAAATAATAAAATAATATTAAAGAGAGAAACAAAAATTCTTTTTAAAAAGTAAAATAGAGAATTGAGTTGGAGTTGATTATGTGAAAAATAAAAAAAAATATATTTAAAGAATAAAATAGAAGATTGAATTGGAGATACCCTTAGAGATTAATTACTACCCATGTTGGAGAAGAAAATTATATGGGAAATACTTTTTTAATGTATTCATACCTAATACCTTATTAATATTTACAGGTAAAATACATAAGCAGATTTCTAAACTTATTTAGTTTTTTTCTCTAGGTATCTCAACTATACTATTTTTCTATTGAATCATTGAACTATTCATAATTTATTCCTTTTAAACACTGTTGACTGATGTAGAAATAGATTTTGTAAAAGGTATTAATGGAGGATACATATGTTGTTTCAGAATTCATTAGTCTAATTGATACTGTGCGAGAATATTTTGTTTTACTTCAAGTCATTTGAACACATTAGAAAATAAATGAGACTAACACACAATTTGTCTTCATTCCTTCAATCAAAATCATTATAATACAAAACACAATTAAAGACATTTACAATAGAAAAGTCGATCAAAATCAGTGTTTAAAGGAACAAACTATGAGTGGTTAAAGATTCAATAGCAAAATGACATAGTTAAGGTACCGGAAGGGAAAAACCCAACAAGTTAAAAATTTGTTTATGAGTTCGGTCATATTTAAATAAAAATATATGAGGAGCATTATATGGTAACTTGATTTCTAAATGAGTTATACAAGTTTGTTTAGGATTCTTACTTGATTCATCAAATAAATTTTAGAAAATATTCTTTCGAGTTTTATTTCTCGCTATTTTTCAGGTCCCTTCTCCAGCAAGAACATTGAAGCAATTGACATACACCATTGAAGGACAATTATCAATGGTAACTTTTTCTTCATTAAAAATTTATTCATAACTTATTCGAATCATAAGCTGATATTTAATAGAAATAGATCAAACAGCTAGAGCTAAATAATATTTGTTAGTTCGTACATTCAATTTTGTCGGACCTGTTAATTAGATCACAGATAAAATAATATAAGATAAAAGCCCAACAATAGCTAAATCAAGAAATTGAGATAGGTTTTGGTCTCAAATGAATCAAATTTAATACTATTTCAAAAACTAGGAAATATACTCGACATCAAGTCCCTCATCCCACCATTGATTGTGACTCAATAATTATCTTTACTTTTAATGTCTATAGAAAAGGAGGCACTTTCTTAAGAGCTAATATAATATATGTGTAATATAATTGATATTCTATCAACATTCTTTGGCATCTAATGACCATGTATTGAGGTCACATAGGTGTGGCAAATAAAGCTGAAAAAGTTCTATGATTTTTACTTTAATGTTCAATATGTCACAGATAGGGTTGTGGGGAGAAAGGGGATTTTTTTCTTTATGCAATTGTAAGAACACTATATAAGAGAGCATGGAATGTAGCATGTTGTTATGCAATGCAATGTTTGGCCAAAAAGAAAGGATATCAAGTAAAAGCAATGGACTCTATTTAATGGAGTAAATATGTCAATGTACCATATCAACATTAGTTGTAGTGATATTCATTCACCCTTAATTAAAAATTTCAAATTTGAACCCTGACGATGGAATAAATTTTTTTGGATTATCATATCTAAATATAGACCATGCAATATGTGATTCAAATTTAATTGGATCTCTATGCAGACTCCAAACATTAAAGAGGAAAAAGAAAGAAGATGTGAATTTATCTTAATGCTTTTATTGTGTAATGACTTCCATGTGAAGAAAATGATACCTTTCCTTTTTAACCATTTTTAACTTTAGCTTTCATGACTATTAATTGCTAAATTTGTACTTCCTTTTGATATTTGATATTTCTATTTATTATAAATATCTCATGTCCCATTTGAAGCCAGTGTTCATCATGGCAATTAGCTAGAGCTATCACTTAGCATATTCTTGGAGGTAGAGTAGGACCACATTTAATTTGAGTTTATACAGATCAACTATTAATTTTATCCAAATCAATGTTTGTTAACTTGGATTTTACAGAAAATGTGTTTCATCTTTAAATAGAACATAGTAAATGATTCGTCAATCATGTTTTGGTTGCAGTTCAACTCGACAAGGAATAATATCATTATATCTTAATCAGTTGACAGTTCCATTCAACGATAATTATTGAGTAACATCAACCTGCTACCTATGACAAGGCTCACGAGTAGTAGACTGAGTCAGATATATGATCGAACACGACACTTTGTTTAGTGAACTTAGTTATGAATTAAAGTCATGCCTTTATCATCAATTATCGTATGAAATTTAAATAAAAATAAATGGGATTTATCACCAAGCACCAGTGGTCTAGTGGTAGAATAGTACCCTGCCACGGTACAGACCCGGGTTCGATTCCCGGCTGGTGCAATTTTTACTTTTTACAGAATGTTTTTTGATTGCTTTCCTAGTTTTGATCATTATAATATATGATATTTATTTAGCTTCGATAATCTTAAGTGAAATAAACTTTTAATTGTTTACTTACCATATATTATGTTAAATTCGTATTTTTATTTTATATTTGAAGGTAATATTTTTTTAAAAAGTATCATAAATCTAAATATAAAATGCTCTAAATGTAACATTAGGTGTACATATGATATTGAAAACTTTCGTTCAATAGCGTGATGTTTTACAATTCAGTATACAGATAATCATGATTCGTCCAACGTCAACTTATATATACTACTCATATAATAAGAATTAGGACTTCGACTTTTTCATAAAAAGAAGGTGTCAATTATATCAAACTAATAGGACTTCGACTTTTTCATAAAAAGAAGGTGTCAATTATATCAAACTAACACTTTTAAATGTTGATGAAGTATCAAGTTTGCTCACTTTTATATTTGAAACATGTTTAAACTGTAAATTTAGCCTACCATTGACTTGAGTGTTTGGTTTGATTCAAATTATTTATTATTAATTGCATATATATAGGTTGCTGATTCCGAATTGATTCTATCATGTCAATGAATGCCTAGATCTAGATGGTTATTCTTAAGTGATTACTATATTGTACTAGTTAGAAAATTTGTGTGCCTAACTAATTACATGATGCCTAGTTCCTATTATTTGATAGATAATAGGAAAAAATGTGATTTCAATGTCTACTTGATTAATGACGGATATTTGTGCCTCACTGCCTCATCGAACTAGGTGATCTGATCTTTGGATCAATCACAACCTTCTAAACTCGGTGGATAATGAGTCCACCTCTCTACCTTTAAATACCAGGCTTCACTTTGCGTGGTGTGAGGCTTGCCTGAACCTGCGACCTAAGGCACAAGTCCTCCACCTTTTGCCACTCGAGCTAGGCCTTGGGTATATTACATTTATAACTGACCTATTAGGTTTTTTAAGATGGTATGGACAATTATCTGCTCTTTAATTAGTGTATTGGAAATTTGTTTCTCTGTAAACATGAATGGTTCCACTAGATTGTTATAGGGTGCTTAATTCTCAAAAAACTACCTTGTCCTTGTTGATTGTTTTTTTCTTTTACCTAATGATCTTTGTCTAGTGATGGATCCCATAATATGTTTGCGTTTTGGAGAACTAGGTTTCGAGGTCAAATCCTATATATATGTACTAAGTATAGATAAAAATTGCAATGCACAGAAGATCAAAATGAAATGTCTTAGCCTTTTATATTTTTGGTGTAAAAGAATATGATGGGGAGGTAGTAACTGTAGTTGATTTTAAGAGTTCTCTGTATATATTTGGTTGTTTGGCTGAATCTAAAGTCCCGGTTTGTATGTCCATGCTACATGTACTAGTAAATATTTAGATTGCTTCATATGATACAAGTCATCAGAAGTAGTGGTTTCATTCATTTTAATTGACGTAAAACTGTTAGTTAAAAAATGAATAAAAAAGGGTTAGCAGCTTTTGCTTGGCAATGTTAAAAATAATATTTCATCCGTTTAAAAAAGAATGACCAAGTTTGATTTGGAACGAAATTTAAGAAAAGAACAAAAACTTTTTGATCTTGTGGTTCTAAATTAAAGTTGTCAAATGTATCAAAGTGCCCTTTAATCTTATGACCTTAAATATGTCACGTGGAAAGTTAAAGTTTTAAAGTTTTGCCAAAAAAAATAAGAGTCATTCTTTTCGAAACATACTAAAAGGAAATGAGGTCATTCTTTTTTAAACGAATGGAGTATAACTCAAGTCTATTGCTTTCTAAAACAAATGCCACTTGAAGTTTTAGATTCCTGTGACACATAATTTTCAGT